CTTGATGGATATTGATGACATTCTGCAGGCAGGCTTCTGCGAACATGTAGAAACGGGCACGTTATAGCGCGCGTTTAAAAAAAACTAGCCCGGTTAATTGAACTGTGAGCGATGCGCTAATTACCGCAACTGTTGGCCGATATCCGCGCGCGGCCCAATATTCCTCCCGGTGATTTTGATCGATTATTCGCGCTCACTATCTACAGCCCCCGTGCAAGAGGTCATTATGGACGTTAAGTTACGCAAGGTGTACCGAGATCGAATGTAACTTTCGAATGTAAATTTAACAAACTCGATTTCTAAGTACGAATAAATAAAGCGGGAGGTGATTTGCTAGTATCGCTCGATAAGATCAAATCGGAATCGCATGCTCTACGTTTACACGCTTTATCATTCGCGTTTCAGCGGACTCATCCTCGAATGCAGAATACGTTTACTTATACGACGTTTAAAGATACCGCCCTCCCTCCTGCTAAAAAAAAAAAAACGCGGGGAATAGCCTCGGGCACTTCGTTTCCATTTCAAATCAGCTCTCGATTCGCAAGAAAGCTCCGACGACCGCTTAATCTGGTTTGGAATAGATCCGATTCATTGGATATATAACGTTGCGCTAATTAAAACCAGACGAACGTATCCCAGTTTGGACGCTGAACTCTGACGTATAATTCGTTCTACCGCGGCGTGGGCAATTAACTGTAGCTTATTGATCAGGCATGAATGACGAGCCGTGAATAATCGCAGGTAGCATGCGCAAGAAAGGCACGTGGTAAAAGGAAATCCGGGCAGAGAAACAAGATTCGTGGTGCACACACTTCGGACCGTGTTCGGGCGTTCGTTCGCTTGCGCGGCTTTGCGAAGGTTATGGCAAAAAGCCCGCCCCGTAATTAAAAATGTATGTCCGTCGGGAAAAAATCGTCGAGCCGGCCGATCCGTTGTTCTCGGCATCGCTCGATAGGCATATCTCCGCATAAGTGACGAGTGCAGAGTCGATCGCCAGTCATCAATATCTACCGGATATCGGATACTGTTACGATCATTAACACATTGTTGACGATGCGTTCGGCTGTCAGTCAGCGTTACGTTTTTTTTTTTCAGTTTTATATAAATTGACACGTGTGCGTGCCGGACTGCGCCAACCAAGATTTTTATATTTTTCATACGCGTGTCCTCTTATTGAACTTTCAGCACAGATTCGAAGTACTCCACTTGAAGGAATATGGGGAGGTTTGAAGAAAGTGTATAATTCACAATTTTAATAATCTGTATTAGATACGTGATAACTTGTATCTCTTGATACTACGATATTGATATGCATTTGATTTTCACCGGTGCTCCCGATATTATAAAATACGAAGGAAGTATGTCAATCGATGTACGTATAATTTTTTTCAAATTTATTTCATATAATAATAATGCAAATATATTTTATATCCGTTGTAAATATATGTATCCGTTGTATTGTGAAATTTTCATCGCTTTATTAAAAATAATATTCTCTCTTAATAGAATATTTAATAATTGAAATATGTAATTACAGTTTAAGTTCAATTAAAAGAAAATGACAACTGGTAACTTGAGATTTTTTTGCAGATTAAATAGAAATTTTCCTTCTGTTTATGATTGTTAATGTCCGTAATTTGCATCGAATTTTCAATTTCATATTCTGTCTCGATAAATGAACTTCGCGAGCATTTTTCTATTCAGGAGGTATTCATTATTCAAAATTTTTCATATGCTTTTGAACTTTTTTTCTCGATTCGGGTATCGTTGAGTCTTATAATGTGACAAGTAGAAAGGTAAAATACGATAATGATCATGATTTTCTTAGATAATGAGGGATTTTAACATCAACGGCACTCCGTTTTCCTCCTCCCCTTTAAGCTTGAACGGGTCGATATAAATTACCTCGGATAGTCTAAGAAGAAATCTGCCGATCATGATTCTTAGCTCAGAAACATCTGGATATCACGCACAGTTACGTTAATTAAGGATGAATGAGTAGACTCCAGGTAAATAACCAATCTCCATTGAAGGTGCGGTACAGTGATTGACGCATGCCTCGAAAATTATCGGTGGAGCCTCGTTCCGCTTCATTTCCGTCGCTTCCCGACACATTAGCGTCCTAATTGGACACTCCTCTGTAATTTTTTAAAACTATACGTTATATCATGTCGACAATTTTTCATAACGAAAGTAAAATTCGGTTTTACATAAATACTTTTTTTTTTCAATATTCCGTGCCACATGGCTAAACAAATTATTATAATCTCTTAGACCCGGTGCCGCAAATAATAACTTTAATCTCGGTTTAACTTACTGTTTATCTTTTTCTAATTCTTGGATTAGAAAAAGATGAAGCGAATTGAACTTCGGTTCAAATTCGGTAAATTGAGTTAACCGCGAATTGTGAAACCGGGCTTTAGCACATTTTTATATCTTACAAAGTTAAAGTTCTTTCATATAATTTGCGGTCGAATCGTATTACGATCTGCGGCTTTCGTACAAACGATGTATCTTATACGTTTTTAATTAAATCTCGCACTCGATGGCTCGCGGCGAATCAAAGCATTAAGTATACGGCGGTTTAAAGTATACAGAAACGTTTTTAGCATGAGAAAGATGTTTCTCACATCGGAGGTTAAACATTCCGCTTAAACTTTGTACCTGCTTGACGACCGGCATTTCCGTAAGGTTTTCCACCTCCGGTGATATGCGGGGATCTATCCGAGAAGCAGAGGAAGGATTTGAATCTCACGGAAGTCAAGGCGCGAGTTAATTTGTCACTCTCTCGGCTCTCGTACACAATTTCCTTTCCTCGGGCCCTGCGAACATCTTCCTCATTATCTTCGGAATAAACGACCGTTAACAGGGACGTTTGACGTCGGTTAGGCCTAAGAGTGAGGCGAACGTGCGGATTGTAATCGTAGAAACGGTACTTCTCTTCTAGGTATCAGAGAAACGAGGAAGCGAAACACGATACTTAAATAAATGCATTACAAAGGTGTTGATTTTAGAAAAGTAACATTTTGCGCGCGGATGATTATTTCCGGGATACGTAGACGATCATTTCTAACTTCCTAATCCTCTCTCTATTTCCGGCAACAGACGAAAATCCGTCCATTCAACTGTCGCTTAGAATAAGAGATTTTTTCTAAAATAACATATCGATCATATTAAGCTCAATTTACTAGCTTTTACGTGTAATTCGATGCATTAATTATTCGGGAATGATCCTCTCTCTCTCTCTTTCTCTTCAAGTAAATAAACGACACTCTCGTATCCAGGCTGCCAAACTTTCTAATCCGCAAAAATGGACGAGACAGTTCCATCAATGTCGCGAAACGCGGACATTCGCCGGCGGTTTTGCCCGCAGGGACACCACCGGTAATAAAAACGCATTGAGACCGTGTATGCGCTCGTAGAAACGTAAAACGATGTACACGCGTACATCGTCACGGCGGCGGCGGAGCAGGGTAAAAATTTTCGGCGGTCCCAGATGCGGCCGGCCGATCGAACTTTAACGTCGTTTGCAAGCGGCTCCTCTGCGAACGGTCGACCGGACTGCCGCGTTCTCACGTTCCATTGCAAAACTGTCGAAACTGTCGAATCGCGGACAAAGGGTGTATAATACGAAAGTTACAAACAGAGGCGGAGGACAGAGAGGGAGAGTGAGAGAGGGGGAGGGCGAAATAGAGAGAGAGAGAGAG